AGTTTACACAGCTACTTTCTCACCTGAAAATATGTTAAAAGTTTATTTTGTGACCCAGAAAGATTAATAAGGGTAATATTAAAACTTAGTAGCGGGCACCATTGTTGGAAATTGGAATTGGCTGGGCCGCGCTATTAATTCTGGGATATGGTGGGCCACGAAGGACACACCAGAGCGAACAGCTGAGGAAAATAAGACACAAGTGAACAGAATCAAACTAACAAGACAGAGGGGAAGAAAAACTAAACACAAGGCACAAGAGACACAGGCTATCAAATTATGGTATTATTGTTTTTTTTCTTATCTCAATAATGCATAATGTTAGCAATTAGCAACAGTGAAATCACTCAGTCTAAGACTTCATAATGGGACTTCACTAATCATTCGACAATGCCACATTGGCTATATCTGTATTTTATGCCCTTTGTGGTCTGGGTAGGGTTGTGTGCTTTTCCGACAATATATTTAACTGACTAGTGTTTCTGATGTGCAGAGGTAAAAGAACCAAAGTTGGTCTGGCACATTCCTGATGAGATTGACTGCCTGTTCACAGGAAATATTATCTGTAAGAATTCAGTTCCTTTACAGCGCGAGGGACTCCACAATTTGAAGAGTTATTTTTGGTATTTTGAGCCAGAAGTGACCGTATTTAGACAAGAAGGTAGAGTATTAAGCTAGCTAACACTCGCCAGCCATATTCATAAACTGTGTGGGTTAGGTTCAGTTAGATGTAAGGCATAGACTAATGCAATATCAGAAATTGACTCACAGAATCTCAAACTTTGATCAACTGTATCACACAGAAGGCCACAATATTCATCAGATTATCTATTTAAAATGCTTCTTAAGGCACCAGCAGCACAAACACAATGATAGGTCATATCTACCAACCTCTGGAAATCTCCTGGCTGTCACTATCCAAATGCAGCCAAACGCAGCATCCTGAATTAATGGCTATCCTACAAAAATATTAACTGTTCTCCATAGTTTCACCACCTGTTAGCCAGAACAGTCATGCCCCTTACATTAAGCCTTACCAAATGAAAATGGATAAGATTCACCTGAGATTTTTTACTAAGTGAGAAACTATCCAAAACCAGGTGTAACTGTGTTGAACATGGGACTCTGTAGGGACTGACTCACCTTTGGAGCCAGCCTTTAGTGGCTGTTAGAGGAACGACACTTTTTTGAACAATTATTTAACACAATAAAAACACGGACTGAGGTTTTTACCCAGAGAGGATTTGGGTTTAGTAAACTTTTATTCCATAATTGATTACAGTTAAACTGTGTGGAAATTTCTAAAGCAAGATGAAGTCACTGAGTTATTGTGGTTTGTTAACAGCCAGCTCCAGTTATACTGGGTCAGCTGGTTTTAATGGCCCAGGTCGAGAATATTTGGCGGTTCTTCTGGCTCCACCTCCTGATTGGTGTCCTGCAGGAAGGAGAGAAGATGTTTAGAACAGGTAAACCACAAAGTGTAGAAAGCTGTGGTGAACAGGACGGATTTTTTTTAATTGTAATCTGCTGGAGGGTCATGGAAGAGCAGATGCTCTGGCTGTGGTTACTGCAGCTTCACAGATGTGCAAATATATCTGCTAGAAGGTTGTATGGCTGGTGGTTGCACACATTGCAAGATTAGCAGCAAGGAGACCCTGGTTCAAATCCTGCTGATTCCTTTCAATTTCATTTTTTTTCTGAATGTTTTAAGACTATATTATAAATTCTGGCTCCACCAAAGATGTGCCACTTATTAAGCCGCACCTTACTAAAACCACTAAATGAAGCGCTACATTATCATGGATCTGTAATTTCATGTATTAATTTGGTGATGCAAAAACTTTGCGGTGAAATTGAAGCAGTTTCCATGTCTCCTTTATAACTTTAATGTTTAAATGTATCCAGTTTAAACTTATAGAACTCTAATGTGCAGCTGTCACCTTAGAAAGAAACAACAGCTTTACAGTGAACAAAATAAAATAATTAACTTAAATTGAAATGTTTGTTATATGTGCTAAATCCAAAGATTAACATTTTTCTGCAGCATTAATCTCTTGCAATCTATTAGCAACAGTGTTGTACTTTACTGTTATATTTTTATATTCTTTCCAGATTTTTCATTGCCATTATATTGTCATCATTGATATAATCTAGCATCTCTGACTAGAGTAGGTGGATCAGGATCAATTCATGTGTCACATGATCCACAAAATACCCATTTTTATATGCGCACACATGGAGCCTGACAGTGAAAGATGATAACCACTGTCATGATAACTGGAATGTTAGGTTTTGATGAACCAGCTAGTAGAGAGAAAAATCTGGCTGTGTGGAACCTTTATCATACCAAACCCCTCTAGTCGCACATAAAGCACCAACTACAGCTTGGTTGGATTTAGGCGCCACACCAGGTTTATGGTGAAATCGTTGAGTGCACAGTGAAAATTGTCAGAACAAGACTGCTACATATAACCACCATGCTGGAAGCTGTCTGGACATGCTGTGGAAGATGATGTCAAAGGGGATACTGGGCAAATTATATTTATTTATTTATTTATTTTGCCAACTTGTGAATTTGAATTTGATAAAATAATACCGTGTATGGTTTCAGATGAGGTTTGAGAAGAAATGTTTTTGTTTCAAGTCAGGACTGAAAACTCAGAACAATCAATAACTTCACATGGTTGCATATTTACACTGAGGTGTTTCTTCATTTCCCATAAAAGACCCTTTTACTATTGAGCTTTTTAATAATTAACACATTTCACCTACAGCAATAAATCTGACAGCTGACTGCAGCAAACCACATATTTACATTAAAAGTAATATTCTAAAATTATCTTTGTTCATTTATGTTTTTTTAAGCCTGTCTTGTGTGGCAGCTTTTACAGTTATAATCGGGATGTGACTGTTGTGCCAAAAACATTTGCTTTTCCAAGATGAGCTCTATAGACTCTCTATAGGATCCTCTTGTTTGTGGCTTTCTTTTTCTACTTTTTACTTATTTACTTATTTACTTATTTCTATTATTATTCACGAGTGCATGTGTAATATGGGAATGCCAGAGGTGACAGGGAGGAAGAAAAGGAGTAAAGAAGGGGGGAGAACACAGGGGAAAACATAAGAATAAGAGGACAGAGCACACGTGGAAACCACACAACACATACAAAAAAACTCCAAATCACACCTGAAGAAAAAAAACCAAAACCAAAAACATGGATACACAAACCAGCGATCTATATGTGTGTGTGTGTGCATTGACAATGACGGTGAGAAATTACAATAATGTCCCCAGGAGCCAGAAGCAGACAGAGAAACACCCAGGAGACCCCTAGAGTACTGAAGACCCCAGGTCACACGTCTCGATGACAACTGTGTGCCCCTCCCAGCAGAAGGAGGAGGGAGGCCAGAGATGGAGCCCTCAAGGCCAAAGAACTGCCATGAACTGAGAACAGGGCTCCAGATGCAAGAAACTGCCCAACAACCACCAGAACCACCACCGCCACCATGAACCAACAGTCGACCCCCACCCTGGGTAGGGTGCAGGAAATGGGTGTAGGAAGACCTGCCCCGACTTGCCCACGTTGGGAGTGATATGCTGGGCGTGTCAGACTCTACATGTGTGAGTGATTTGTTGTTTGAGGGGTGTGTGTGTGTGTGTGCGCGCACTGTCATGATACTTAAGACCGGAATGAGAAAGCCAGTTAAGCATCTGGCTCGGTAAGCCCACACCCATCGCAGGGCGGGGGAAGTAGATCTGGGGCCGTAAGCACAGCACCCCAGAGCACCACGGCAACCAAGGTCTACATCCACCGCAAAGGTCTCCCTCACCTGAACACCCCACCCCTTCCACTCCTTTACCTTTTCTAGAACTTGCCTGATTTTGGTGGATGCGAGAAAGCTAATGCCCAGAACAGTGGGATCAGACTGTGTGTCCCACACTCCTTAAGCCCCACACACTATTTACAGCAATGAGAGTGAGGCTGATGTGAATTATCTCCTGCTGTGTGCAACGTGTGAGAGAACGAGAAAATGCTGCCCAGAAGCCTCTGCCCAATTTCACCCTGCCACTCAGGAAATTATGAATCTACATGAAGTCACTTGGGACACTCTTTTCCTTTTTTTTTTTATTAACCTTTACAACAAAAATGTGAAAGAAATCTCAAACATGTCCAAGCTGTTTCATTTCATTAAACCCAAACTCCTGAAATAATCACACAAGGTCTGGAAGTGTAATGACACAAATGGGTGCCACACCTTGATTGAGTGTGTAGTTTAGTCTGTTGGAGGGCTTCATAATATAATGGCAGTTGCTATGGAAAGGCACTCAATGTGGCAGAACTTCCACATGAATGCACAAATGGAGTGAAAGTGTGTATGGAGAGGGTGTAGAGCACAGACAGGAATTGTGTAAAAACATTTAATTAACAAGTATTTTTAATTACAGCACTGTGCAAGAGTCTGGACCGACCCCCATGTTTTAAAACTTTGCTGGGAAAATAGGAAATGAGTGAAACGCTTCAAACATGTACAAACATGAATGTAAATATGGTACAAAAGGCACAAACAGATTCTGTACAACTATAACGAGTTTGAAGTCAATATTTGCTATGACCACCTTTATTATTTAACATCTTATGCAAGCTTTCTTGTAATTTGTTTAGTTAGTCTTCAGGACTAGTTCTCCAGGCTTCTTGAAGGATATTCAGAGATGTTCTTGGCTGCCTTTTCTTTCTTTCTCTGTCAAGATGATCCCACACTGCTTCAATAACATTGAGGTCTGGACTCTGGGGAGGCCAACCAATTAAGTGCTAATTTAAAATTTAAAATTGGTTCTTTGCTAAGTTGTCTGTTACGTATAGACACAATACTGATTCATCCCTTCAGTTAGGCGCTTTTGCACTGCTTGAATGATTCATAGGTCAGTGTAAATTGGTTCAAAACACAAAAAAACAAGTGGTCAAGTACAAGGACTGGACTGAAAATGAGTAAAAAAAGCAGCCAATGTCCAAAGAAGAACTCTGAAAGGCCTCTAGAAAACCTGGAGAACTATTGCTCAGCTCATATTACAATAAAGGTCTGGCTCATTTAAATCAAAATATAAAGAAATGAGAGGTGCCTAAAAAACAAAGTGGAGTCTAACATAACATTTCTTCCCCATTGGGTCCCTGGGATTGCAGATCAGACTCACTGGGCAACTAAAACAGCTCATTTATATTTCTATTTAGATTCTATTTAGAATTTAGATATTTCATATGCTCCTTGCTTCACGCATAATAATACGGTAGATTCATATTTTAACTTAATAATTTAAATTTGCAGAATAAAGAGTAGATAAAGCTTTAATATATCAAGACTCCTGCTGTGTAAAACAAGCCAGTGGTGGATGGTAGCAGGTGCTTTCTTTCACAATGAAACTATCCAGAGCCAGCGGCTGGTCAGTGAGCTTTTTTAAACTTCTCCTCGTACCCCTGTTTATTTCAAACAATTATTTAAAAGAAAAGAAAATGTTATATATTCTAACTGGATGCCCAAATGATGATGACACCAAATGTGATCCTGTTAATTAACTGACATGAGATTTCTTTCTTTAGTTGGAGATTATCTGTGGCTATGACCAATGCTAAGCTAATCTGTTGCTGTCTATATAGCCTTACACCATAACATTTAACTGAGACATGACACTGTTTCTAATCTTCTGATCTAACTCTCCCTCTGCAAACTTTTTTTTAAAATGTCAGTGTGACCTTGAAGGCTGATTGTGGTCTCAGGCATTAATGTTCTGGAGGTCACACAGCTGAAAACAAGCTGAAGTTCCTCTGATAGAGAAGGAATGTGTAAGCTGCAAAGTGAAGAGAGCTAAGTGCCCTTCACAAGAACTCCAAAAGCATAAACACGTTTAGATAGTGAACACATGGACATTCTAATAATGATGAATTGCATTTATATAGCGCTTTTCGAGACTTTTTGAGACCCTCAAAGTGCCTTACAATTCCACTATTCATTCACTCTCACACTCACACAGTGGGGGAGGCAAGCTACAGTTGTAGCCACAGCTGCCCTGGGGCAGACTGACAGAATCTCACTAAGGAACTCCGAGAAACACCATCTCATGTTACCTGCAGGCGGTGATGATGGCCATCACCAGCAGGCGGTAGGAGGTGAAGTGTCTTGCCCAAGGACACAACAACCAAGACTGTCCAAGCCGGGGCTCAAACCGGCAACCTTCTGATTATAAGACGAACGGCCAACTCTTGAGCCACGATCGCCCATTCTCTGAGTTATTGCTCAAGCAGCAAGAAATAATGTGTGCTGTTGGATTGTTATGCAGTGTTTCAGTATTTTATGAAATCATGCAGGAAGAATCTGAAGAAAAAGGAGAAAGCTACATCAGGCTCCAATTACATCGTTTAGTTCTTAAATTTTAAAGAAGGA